GAAGAAACCAAGATAGGTTGGAGGGAGGAGTTCAACGCATGCCGAACAGTGCAGTTTTCTTTTGCCAAATTTAATTTACACTTTCTTATCTCCATCCGGGACTGCTAGCTATTTCTTTTCTTTTTTTCCTTCCTTCCTTCCTTCCTTCCTTCCTTCCTTCCTTCCTTCCTTCCTTCCTTCCTTCCTTCTTTCTTTCTTTTTTAAACCGAGTTGCTAAAGTGAAAAGATTTGCATTGGCCCATTTGCATGGGAACTGCTGGGAAAATATAGTTGTTTTTATTTTTATTTTGTTCCGGGACGGAAACTCTGTTTCTTCCCTCAGTCTTCTTTTCCCAGATGCCAAGGGAAAGAATTGAAATGACCTGAAAGGCACTGAGGAATAATAATAATAACAATAACAAAATAACAACAATAACGGTAATAATAATAAACAATAAAAAGGCCTTTGACATTTTTATTAAATAACATCCGCCTGTGCGATGTTGGGAAGGGCTGAGTAGGGAGATTAAAAACACTACAGCCCAGCCAAAAAATCTCCCTGACCGTGTGACCAACCGTAATAATAATAATAATTTGAAATATAAAAGGTTTTGTTTTGTTTTTTTGCAATCAGAATCACGAGGCAGGTGAAAACTGCCTGTGGAATGGGGGATAACTGTGAGAATCTCCCTCTCTTTTTCTTGCAATTAAACACGGATATGACCCTGGTGTTTTGTTTGTTCATTTTTTTAAAAAAACACGCAAGCTTCTAGCCCTCAAGGCTGAAGATCTTAGGTTGGAAATTGCAGAGCCGACCAGGGGAGAAAATGAACAGCTACAGCAGCTTAAAAAAATCAGCCCCTTTGCATGGTTTCCGCTTTACGATGAGGTTGTGTGCCCGGAGCGTTTGCAAAAGAGGCCTAAAAATACCAGAGTAACACCAAACAAAGAATGCAATTATATAACAGGAACGGAAGGTGGTTGAATAATAGGAAGTTGTGATTCATTTTAAGACTTCTCTTCAGGCAAATCCACCCATTCCTCCCTTCTCTCTCATTTTCTCTTCTGAAATGACTGAAAACAGGTTTCGTCTGCATTTTCTGTGTCGTATTGCAAGCTCTTGAGTTCGAAAAGTGGAAGAGAATAAGTCCTCAGTTTGCACCGTTCCAAAAGTGATTTTGCCACTGGTCCTCATACTTATGATCGTTGCATTGTCCTGGGGTGTGTGTGTGTGTGTGTGTGTCACACAATCACCATTGGTGACCTTCCCACCGGGGTGACTTTGGGCCAATCACCAGGAAGCGGTGAGTTCTAGTTTCCCACCTTAGGTGTGAAAGCCTGTTGGGGTGATTTTGAGCCAAATCATTCTCTCTCAGCCCACCCCACCTCACAGGGTTGTTGTTGTGGGGAAAATAATAGGAACAAGGAGGGTTAAGTATGTTCCCAACTTTGAGTTATTTATAAAAAACTTAATAATAAAACAAAAGCAAAAAGAACCCCAATCCAACCCATAAATACGTCCATCTGCGCCTCAGCCCCTTCTCCAAACACGGCCTTTGCAGGGTATTCCCCCTGCTTATTCTACACTAACGACAACCCTGCTGGGTAGGCGAGGCCAAATGCACAAACCACAAAGTCGTTCGGCCAACTTGGCGGCTGAAGGAGGAAGATGCGCCTTCGGGCTTTATGCGACAAAACGCAGCCCATCCGCCTCTCGTGGATCCAGCCCATCCATCAGGGGATTTCTGGCTGGTAGTTCTCCGCATCCCGACGGTCCTGCCAAAATTTAGATTAAGCAGATAGATTTCGAGGCCAGCCGGTTTTTAAGTACCTTCTGGGCAGAATGGCAGGTACCTCAATCCATTTAGCGTCTGTGGCATCGCCGGGCCTTCGTCATCAAAAAAAAACACCGTATAAAAGGCGCTCTCTGGGCCCAAAGAGGCACTTAAGAAAAAAAATTATTTTGTATATATATATCGATGACTTCTGTGCCGCAAGGCAATTAGCACAGACTTGGAAGGGACCTTGTAGGTCATCTAGTCCAACCCTCCCCCCCTTCGACGATCTCAAAAAGTGCCGTGGAAAGATTGACTGGGAGTCCTAGACTAACCTAAAGTTCCTTTAGGCGACAACGGCACTGAAAAAAACTGACTCGGGACCATTCTTCACACTTACGACCGTTGCAGCAAAAAAAAAAAACCCCACACACATACGGAGGCGATCCAAATTGGGATGCTTGTCAATGGACTGATTTTTAACAGCCTTTGTGCCACGGCGGGTTAAGTGAATCAGATAACAGATCATCGGAGTTGGAAGAGACCTTGTAGGTCATCTAGTCCAACCCCCCCCCGCTGCCCAAATGGGAGACTCTACACCGTTTCTGAATCACGTTAAGCGAATCCAGTTCCCCCAACACACACACACACACCATTGACCTGGCCTGATGGACCAAGGGGAGGTTGCAAAGTGTAAACACCGTCGTAAGGAGATGCTGGCTTGCTAAGCAGCTTGAATTTTAATCCCGGGAATGCTCGAGATATTGCTACCCAGCACCGATTGTACATCCCATTTTTTTCTCCCAGCGGCTGTTAAGTCGAGAACTGCTGCCGGTAACGGTGGGATGGCTTCTTCAATCGAAGGGGGGAAAAACAGAACCAGGCCAAAAGAAAAAGAAAAGGGGGAAAAAATGGATTTCAAAGCCCCGATTCAGACAAGGCTGCCGAGATGCCCCCAGATTCTATCTTGGCACCATTCTTCCCGTTGCAATGCCGTCTCTCTCTCTCTCTCTCTCTCTCTCTCTCTCTCTCTCTCTCTCTCTCTCTCTCTCCCTTTCTCGTTGTTTTTCTCTCTCCTCCCACTCCATCCCAGATGCCAGGCTGAGTTTTCCTCCTCCCATTTCGGGGAAACTGCAGCAAAAGGGACCAACTCAGCAGAAACAGGGGAAGGGAGAGAGCGCTGAGCCAGGCGCCAGGGAGATCCACAGGCCGGCCCCCGAAACACGAGGTTCCCATCACATGCCCTGAATCTGTGGCAGCTTCTCCAAATTCCTCCTTCACCCCTGGCCCAAGATCTCTCTCTCTCTCTCTCTCTCTCCCCAGATACCCTTCGCCCTAAAACTGCTTTCTTCAGCTTTCTGGATGAAAAAAGGGGGAAGGAAATGGAGGGCGCGCGCACTTAGCCAGCTGGGCATCCCTCCTTCCGGCCAGCCAAGCATCCTCGTGAATCCCTGACTCAATCTGCTCCGTCAGGTTTCCAGTCTTGATTCATCCGTTCTTGATAAAGCCTTGCGGTGTCTTCTTCGAAATCACGGAGACATAAATCATCCTCTCTCTCTCTCTCTCTCTCCCCCTCTCCTCCGCTGTGTGCCAACGTCCACAACTCTTTTTCCAGGAATTGGCCCTTGTTTCTGCTTAATATATATATATGTGTGTGTGCGTGTGTGTGTATACATGTATATATCTCCCCACTTCTGCAGAGGTTGGCGTCTTCGCAGCCAACCATTTCCAGGAACAGGGTGAAAGCTTGGGAGAAATGGCAGGAGGGAAAACCCATCGAACGGACGTAGACGTCCGAGAAGACGAAATGATGACTTGATTTTACTGTCACTGGAGTGATTCCTGGGTAGTCCTGAGTCGGCTGGAGTCCTGATCTACGTGGGGATGCTCCCTCTGTGTGTGTGTGTGTGTGTGTGTGTGTTTGTGTGTGTGTGATATGTTTTGGTTGAAGGAGATTCCAGATTTGTTTGTGTGAAGGGGCGTTGAGAAACGAATAGAATAGCTGGGGCTGGAAGGGACCTAGGAAGGTCTTCTAGTCCAAGCGAAGTCAATGGGGGATTTGCTTAATGACCATGGGATTCGCTTAACAAAGGTGGCAAAAAAGTTGTCAAAATTGGTCATAACTCAATTAACATTTGCCTTACTTAGTAACAGGGAAGAAGGAGAAGGGAGGAAAGGATGAAAGGAAGGAGGGAGGGAAGGAGAGGGAAGAAAGGAAGAGAGTATAGAAGGAGGGAGGGAGAGATAAAAGGGAGAAGGAGGGAAAAAGGGAAGGAAGGAAGGAAGTTGCAATGGTTAAAACTTGGGGTTATGTTTTTCTGTACTTGAGGCCTCTTGTTTTGGAATGCAATCTCTGCGGGGACATTTAATTCCAGCGGTGTAGAAAACAGGATTTGTTCTGCAACACAGCACCAGGCTTTTAATCATCAGGAAGGAATTTCAGCAACTTTCAAACAGGAATTAGTATGTCAACCCCGTCCTCTGAGTCCCTCGGAATTGTACTTTTGTACAGTATTTATCAAGAAGCAACGGGGACTAGTGGGAGGGAAAGTAATCTGAGATCTTGGCTTTTGATTGCGATGCAAAGAATGCGGAATGGTTTTCTTGTGGACTCTGCGCCTTTCTGAAAAGACATGAAAAGCTATTCAAAGGTTTCCATGCCATAAAGCAAAACAGGGTATTTTCCCTGCCCCAAATTCAAGAGGGAGGGAGAGAGAGAGAGAGAGAAAGAGGGGAGAGAGAGAGAGAGAGAGAAAAGGAAGGAAGTAGAAAAAGAGAAGGAGAGGGAGGGAGGGAAGAGGAGAAAGGGAAAAAGGAAAGGAAGGGAAGGAAGGAAGGAGAAAAAGGGAGGGAGGGAAGAGGAGAAAGGGAAAGAAGGAAGGAAGGAAGTTGTCAAAGTTATGACCTTTGCAGCATGATCCAAATTCGGATGCTTGGCAACTGACTCCTGTTTATGACGGTTGCAGTGATCCGGGGGTCATGTGATCTCCGGCAAGGAAAATCCACAGGGAAGCCAGGTTCACTTAATGACCAGGTGACTCGCTGAGCATCCACTGTGCCCATCCGGTTAACGACTGTATCAAGAAAGGTCGTTAAAACGGGTCAAAGCTCCCCTTCGCACCCGTCCCGCTTGGCTTAACGGGAATTTTGACCTCCCTCGTGATTCCACGTTGAGGACTTACCTGTTGTTTTGAAGGGGAGGAGGAACAAAAAAAAGAAAGAATTTCCTGTCATTTCTCGTTCCAGAGCTCAACTCAGGAGATCGGAGAAGAGTTTGAAGACAGCGTGATTTACAGTATTTCTCTCCGGAAAGTTCAGCTCCATCACACGGCCAACAAAGGCCAGCGATGGCTGGGGGTGAGTTCCATCTTCCTCCTTGGGGTTTAAGAATACCAGGCTACCTCGCAGGGCTGTGGTAAGAAACACGGGCTGGTGGCTTATTTGGTTCCCCCCCCCGCCGTTCCCCCCAAAATATAACCTTCCCTGAAAGTAAGTCCTAGCTTGATTTTTACATGTACGCCCAATAAAAGCCCTGCACTCCAAAATAAGCCCTAATTAAGATCCCGCCCACTCCAGGGGAGACTGAAAAAGGTTAAGAGTTTTTTTCCTTTTCAAACCACGCAAGCACAGCTGAAAAAATAAACAGCTGGCCGAGAGTCAGGACGAAGAAGGCGTCGTTTCGATTCTGGCACGGTTGAGAACACGCTCCGTGCCCTGCAGAGTAGACCAAAGGGGGGGGGGTGGCCTTGCAGGGACTCCTTGGTTTAATGACCACTGCTGGGGCTAGAATTTCCATGGCCAAGCCGGGCGGGTTGTTAAGTGAGCTGGGCCGGATTCTACCGACCTTGCGGTTGTTAAGAAAACCGCTGCCGTCGTTGAGAGAATAACGCAGTCGTTAAAGCGAATCCACCTCTCTTCATTGACTTTGCTTGTGATCCTGGGGTGCTGCAATGGTCATGGTTGAGCGCTTGTTTGCCCAAACACCCGAGTTTTGATCACGTGAGGATGCTGCCTTCTGGCCGTTTAGGGCGAGGACCGTTTGCGAGTTACTTCCTTTTAGGGCAGTTGTGACTTCAAAGGATTGTGACTTTAAAGGGCCTCTAAACCAAACGGTTGTAAGTCGAGGAGTTCCTGTGTAATAAAACTGTGTCCGCTGGCTAACATGCCTGCCTGTCCAGGAGAAGAATAATTGCCTGCCACACCTATTCGTCTCCACCCCCTGCCTTTTATCCCCAGAGTTAGAGCGGGGCTTCTCTAGCACCGGTGGCTCTTCCGTCCCAAGGACCGGCCCATAGATTTCCACTGCTCTCCTCTCCTCTACCTTCTGCGCATCCGTGTGTCAGGCACTGGACTCAACTGTTCCTCCTCTTCCTCATCAGCCACCTCCAGACCTGGAGACTGTTGACTCTCCATCTAAGGGTTGACGGAGAGTCCAGGCTGCACCTCTCTCTCCCTCCCTCCCTCCCCCCTCCCCCTCTCTTCCTCTGCCAGCTAGATTCCCTCTTCTCCCTCGGAGCTCCCAGCTTCCCTTGATGCTGACCCTGACTCCCACACCTCTTCCTCCTCCTCCTCCTCCTCCTCTTCCTCGTCTGCTGGAGGGGGCCTCGACACTCCCCTCCTCATGATTGTCCCTTTTGCAGTTTGAGAACGAGTCAGCCTTAAACCTCTACGAGACGTGCAAAGTGCGGACGATCAAAGCCGGCACCCTGGAGAAGTTGGTGGAATACCTGGTCTCGGCATTCAAAGGCAACGATTCCACCTACGTGACCATCTTCCTCTGCACCTACCGGGCGTTTGCCACCACCAAGCAGGTCCTGGATCTGCTGCTCAACCGGTAATCCTTTCTCCCTCCGGCTCAAGACCCGAGCAGTGGCGGGATGGGTCCCCTCTCTCGGAAGGATTTGAGTTTGGGCAATGGGTAGAACGTTCGCAAGATATTGTCTGCACGTACGTCCATCCTCCTCCTCATTCTTTCCTTCCTTTTCTCGTCTGTTGCCTTCCTTCTCCCATCTCCTTTCCAAGAAGGAAGGAAAATTAATTCCAAGAGAGAGGAATGGATGGATGGATTCAAAGGTGAATGAGAAAGAGGGAGGGAAGGAAGAAATGAAGCTTTCTTTCTTTCTTTCTTTCTTTCTTTCTTTCTTTCTTTCTTTCTTTCTT